CCCCAAAACCCCAAAACCCCAAAACCCCAAAACCCCATAAAGAGGAGTTTGGTTGAGGAAGCTTATATTTTAAATAAAAAATATGCTAAAAATATCAGCTCGTGCTGTTTTACTTTTGGTTTTAACTATTGGGTTTACCTCTTGCTCTATCTTTGAAGCTTACAACAGTGAAGATGTCTCATTCTTTGTCCAAAGCGATGTGAAGGCTAACGTTGCAATCATGTTTTATGATCCATTCCAAGAAGAAGGAGACTATGAAATTTTCAAAAATGTTGAGAAAATTAATGGCATCTTTTTGAGCAAAGGAGATCCTGCAAGATCTGTTGATCAATGGGTTAACAGCTTAAATGATGGAGCAAACTTGCTCAGAGTTGATACTATGAACCCTTACAATGATGATGCGAAGAAATCATTCCACGTATCCAGAACACCATTCTTAGTTATTTTGGAAGATGGAAACGTTGTTTTTGAGGAAGCTCTTCGTGATGGAACCTACAATCATGTTAGAGATGTCCTTGATAAATCAAACTCAGCATCAAATAACAACTTTGGATCTCAAAATTTTGGAAGTGGAAGCAACTCATTTTCCAATTTGGATAGTACTCTTCAAAGATATGGACAAAATGCCAAACCTCAATCAAATAATCAGAATGGAAACAGTCCTCAATATGATCCTGTTGATAGGGCTGAAGAATCTCTCGAAGGAGCTAACAAAAAGATTACAAAGAACAAGCAAACCGTAGAAAACTCATTGAAGGAACTTCAAGATCAAAGAAAGAGAGTCCAGGCTTACCAAGAAGTTGAATCTGCTAGGCAGAAAGCTGAAAAAGCTAAGCAAGATGCTGAAGTTGCTAAGAAGAACTATGAAGCTGCTCAAAAAGAATTGAACCAACATATCAATGACTTAAATAAGGAGGAAGGGGAGAGACAGAAGTCTAATAATAGTAAAAAGGCTCAATCCTACACTAACCAATCAACTAGATCTCATTCATCAACACCACCAAGAATCTATGGAGGAGTAGATGCTCATGCCAGTGCTTCAAGTAAGTATTGATGAATCTACTGTTAACCAACTTTATAGCTTCCACCTCTCATGGTTCTTATCCATCAGTTAGCGCCAATGCTAATACTCAATCAACAGTATATGGATCAACAGGTAACGACAACTTTGCTAGTTCCAGAACTTGGAATGGGTACAAAGCTAGTCATTAAATCTAAAATGTTTGGCTCTCAATTAAAAATACTCATTGCGGGGTTTTGGGGTTTTGGGGTTTTGGGGTTTTGGGG